GGGGGGGGGGGGGGGATCCAAATGAGATGCTAAAGGGATGCAACATTTTTTCTAATAACAATGCTACTTGGACATGTTCGAGGAAAACATGATGGGACAAATGATAATTGGGTGTTGTGTTTTTAATTTTTTTAAAATTGTTCAATCATGTGTCGACCTTCTTTTTGAACATGTCTTTAAGCATGTTTGTGTAGCACAATTGTTTTTTGCTTCTCGAATTTCACTATGTTTTGTCCAATCAGACAGAGAAGCTCAGCGCTAACTTCGTTTATTGTAAATAGTTTATTTAAAATTATAAATGTAACATGATTAACTATAGATATTTATTAGATTAATATATGATTAATTGCGCAACTATAAACATTTGGGAATCAAGTTGAAAAATCAGATGAACTAGTAAATATTTTAACATTAAAATAATCTATAATATATTAAATATCACATCAAGTGAGAATTATTTTTTGGACGATTATAGTCATGTTACAATTCAATTATTTCAATAATAACTTACTTTTCATTTTTACAATATGTATTTAATTTACAAACTATATTAATACTATAAAATCATTGTTCATGTATTTCATGTTATTAATTCTCAATTAATTAACATTAACATTTATTTAATTAATATTAATTATAATTTCACATTCACATTCACGTCTATGTTCATGTTATTAATTCTCAAGTAATTAATGTGCACGTTCATTTAATTAATATTAATTAAAATTTCACATTCACATTCATGTCCATATCCATTATTAATTCTCAATTAATTAACATGCAAGTTCATTTAATTAATATTAATTAGAATTTCACATTCACGTCCATATCCCTGAAAAATTAATTTATTAATTAATTAACATGGACGTTCATTTAATTTATATTAATTAGAATTTCACATTCAAGAATGCTATTCATTATTCATGTTCATGTATGTTAATTAGCATACAGTTTCACTTAATTAGAAGTTAAATTATATTCGTTTAATATAAATGATTTACATTCATTGCCACGTATATTCCTCGGAATTAATTATAAATTAATTATCATTCACTTTAATTCATGTAGTGTATTTTCCATTCATTTTCATTTATACATTCTAAGAATCACATTCAAGTATGCATTTCACTACTTACGTGCATGCAAAATAATTAACATTTATTTTCAGATGCTTTCATTTCTATTATATTCAGATTAAAAAGGTAAATGAATGGTCAAATATTACTTTTACATCACTAATAAAATATTTCTAAATAACGTGCATCTTCAACTCTAACTGGCATATTAAAAACTATTATATGTAGTATGTTTTATCAAGCCATCATATTACTGTTCTTCTTGGACAGCAGCACCTTCACTAATTTATCAAAGTTCAAGTAAGATGAACCATTGATTTCGGTGGCTCCTTTAGCGTCTTTCTTCCACTCAATTGCTTTACTCTTCATCTTCTTACCTTTCTCTCCATCAATTAGTTCTCTCACAATCTTCTCTACTTCAACTCTATTGACATTTTCATCAATTTCCAAGCCAACACCCCATTCCGTACATGCAAACCTACAATTAATGAACTGATCAGCAAAGAATGGCCAACAGATCATCGGCACGCCATAAGACATGCTTTCAATTGTCGAGTTCCAGCCACAATGCGTTAGGAAAACTCCGATGGACGGGTGGTTGAGCACCTGTTCTTGTGGGCACCAACTTGCAATGAGGCCTCTCTCTTCAGTTTCTTCAACGAACTCAGATGGCAAATTAGAGGAATCACCAACTATGCTGTCTGACCTGATTATCCAAACAAAGTTTTTCTTACTATTTGCAAGTCCCCAAGCGAATTCAACTAGTTGTTGTGGTGTCAAGACTGTTATGCTGCCGAAATTCAAGTACACTACTGAGTTTGGTTCCTTTGAGTTAAGCCACTCCAGACACTCAGTCGCTTCTTTCCAAAGGTTACCTGTTGAAGCAAACTCAAGAGATTAAACAAGATGCTTCAATATAGTAGTAAGCATCTCTCGAATTCTAATAGTTGTAAGCTTCTAAATGTGTAGTTCAACATTACCTCTGATAACTTTCAGACTGGTTTCTGGAAGTTGATCAACGAACAAGTGGAGGGGGCCAATGGCGTAAACCGGAGGACACAAGGGCGAGAGAGAATTCAAAACTTCAGCCTCCAATGCATCAAAAGTATTGAAAATGATGGCTGATGCTTTTGAGGTTCTTTCAGTCTCTCCCAAAAAGAAATTTAGCATTGGATCATTTATATCTGTTGTCCGAATAAATGTTGGAAATTCCCTGAGTCTTACGTTTTTCAGGCCTGGAATACAATCTACAGTAGTGTCCAAGTATCCATTTGATAAGTAAGATGAATCTGCATATGTAGTTGAGAAAATATTCGTTAAATGTTGTTTTTATTGGATAAGGATAGAGGAAAAGGAAGGAAAAATCTTATAATATTTTCCAATTTTGTACAATTCCTTATTCAGTTCTTATGAGTTCGTTAATTAGATGTTGTGCGCTGTTCGAGAATCTCTTCCCAGTTGATACGCCATGGGTCGACTTGACCTAACCAGCCTCACGATTAAGGCATAATCTTTATTTGTATCTTTTTTCTTCTCTATTTACCTATCTTTAAGGGAACAATACATAGTTCCTATTTTTAAAGTTCACATTTCATAAATAACAAACTTCTTAAAATATTTCAAAAATCAGGTGCTAAATAAATTTATTAAATATTAAATTATAATATATAAAATATTAAATTATAATATAATATATATTAATTATTTACACTACCCCTGACACCTCACCCACCCCATCTCCTCACTACACCACTTCTCTCCATCTCGGGCACCGGTCCGGCCACTGCTCCGACGACCGTTCCGGCGATTTCAAAATTTTCAGAAAATTGAAAATCACACACCCACCCATGGATTGGTTACAATCGGTCTCAACGAGTCACAATTAATCAGTCACAAACGGTCACAATCGGCCACAAACGGTCACAATGAACTACCCGGTAGTCAAATCGAGATCTGGATCAGAAAAGTTCGCCGACACCACCAACTTCGGTTGCAGCCTTCAATGTGACCAACTGTGACCAAATTTGTGTTCAGTGTGACCGTTTGTGACCAATTTTGTGTTATTGTGACCGATTGTGACTTGATCATATTCAAGTCACATTCGGTCACAAGTAACACAAAACTGGTCACAATTAGTCACCGTACACACAAATTTGGTCACAACGAACAAATTCGCTCACACCACGAACTAGCACCACAATCCACCACCTGTCATCACCACCATCACCTCCAATTGGAATTTTAAGGTTACATTTTAATAGTTAGTCACAATGAACCAAATTGTTTGCGATATTAATTTCACTTTTTTCTTCTAAAAATACCATTTCGTGTTCGATAACCCACCTTATCAAACAACCAATCGTTTCTATGGATTTGAGAACAATTTACTTTTAACATTAGAATTATCTTATCATTTCTGCAGAGAATTACACTTATTTCTGGTTTCTGGTCCAATGCACAATTCAGTCTCATCAACATCTGAAACTTCACTATTCTCTACATGCCACAGTTGCTCTCTCTTCATTTGATCCCTGCTGTGGTTCAAGTCCAAACTAAATCATCAAAACCTCAAATCAATGACTGTGTTGGATTTAAAGAGTTGGGAAGGAACAGAAAATTGCCATAATCATGGCCTTGCAGAACTTCAACAACAATTGACAAAACCACTGCCGGAAACCACCACAGCCACCAGGCCACAACCACAGCCAAAAAATGATCAAGTCAGACTTTAATCACCGGAAACAACCCCATCTAATATACATTTATCAAGCATTCTCTCAACAATTGCCTCTAATCTAGGATCCATCACCACAGATTCGTCATTCCCTTCAGCAGCTTTAGTCTTGAAATTGGCATATTCATCTATTGCTTTAGCAAGGGAATAGGATAAGGACTCATTAAGTTCACCCAGATAATAAAAAACCTTCGAAACAAGTAATGCTGCTAGTTGTCTTTTGTCAAACTCTTCATCTTCATATAAACTTTCTATTATGGGTACGGTCGAAACAAGTAATGCTGCTAGTTGTCTTTTGTCAAACTCTTCATCTTCATATAAACTTTCTATTATGGGTACGGAGGTGGAGATCTCGGGCCGGAAGTAATCAACAAAGGCGTTGAGATTTGAAAGCGCGTGTAACTTAAGCACCGGGTGAGTCTTGTTCAGCATCGCCAATAAACCTCCCGGCGAGCTCACCATCGTCGCGGCTGCCGCCATCTCAGCTTGAGAAATTATATTTAAAATTTTCAATTAGTGAAAATGAGATTTGAATTTTTTAAAAAAATTAGTGTTTGGATCTGAGAGAGGAAGAGGGAAGTAGACGTGTTGTGAGGGCTGAATTGAGACCTTCCGTCGAACAGCTTATGGACAGTCCGATTTTCCTTCCCCCTGATGGCTGCAAACGCTTCTTCTTTCAACAGATGACACCATTTTTGGCGCTGCACTGGTAATGGTCAAGTAGGAGAGAAACGGTTTCCATTTTGGGTGCACAACAGTGCATTACAGTACCATCACCTAAGTCAGTGACAGTCGATCGGAGGACCAAATTGGTAAAGCCAGATCTGAGGCTCCAGTTTCTTGATGAAGTTAAGCTGAAGCATTTAGACATAGCAGCGTCTGTGGTCTCCGGTGACAGGGCGAGGAAGGCCGAGAGAGAAGAGAGAGCGAGGAGGGAGAGACAAGATAGATGGGGTGGAACTGGGCTTGGGAAGAGACGACTGAGATATGGGATGGAAAATCAGGTTTAATTAGGTTTTAATTAACACCTGATTTTTGATAAAATAAACACTGCACCTGATTTTTGAATTTGGTAACTTAAATACCTGGTTTTAGGTAATTTTCTCTATCTTTAATTCCTAGCTATTTCTGTTGGGCTGAGTCCAGGCCCAGTTTAAGTGTTCCCAGCATTTTGGTAAAATCTTATTTCCTTATCACGTTTTTCTTACTGGAGCGTCCTGGATTTGATGGATGACACTTGGCTCGTTCATGACCATTGGATGCTTGGACTGTTGATATACTTGGGCTTGAGATATTTTTGGCCCTCCAGTCGATTCATTCGGCTGTCTCTCGAGACTTCTAGGGTTTCTGCTTTTGAGAGAAAAAGAGAGAAAGAGGTAGGGTTTGATTCTTGATGCCTGATTTCATTCTAAATCTCATATTTAGATTATTGTAATAGTTAGATCTACCTTCTGTTGTTATATTCTTTGTCAATATTGTGAAGCTGTGAGGGATTCCGCTGTCGTAATACTAAGTGTATGTTTAAAGGCGTTCTTGGTGTTTTCTGAGTGAATCGTGGGCTATCATCTGTTGTACTTTGAGAGATAAGTCTCATATCTCTTTCTTGAACTCTTTGTAACATTTGTTGCCATTTTGTGGCTGATTTAGTGCATCTGAGCATATTCTTTTTTATAAATGCTCAACGAAGGATGTAGGTGTTGGAAGCGGTCACTGAACCTTCGAGACTACGGCTAAAACAATTATTGTGTTCATTCTTTAATTTCTACAGTTTTACTTTACTGTTGTGGTTATTGTTTGTTTTGATTCTTATATCGTGTTGTGGTCTGGCCTTACAGTGATATCAGAGTTTCGACTAGTGAAATAACTTGCCTAGATCTTTTGAGAAGGAGGCAGATCTGCTTCAGATCCTAAAGGGTTTAAGTCTGCTCTTGAGAAAACTACAAGAAATCGAGTTTATTCTTAAATTCGCTTGATGAGATCTTTTAAATTTTAAATGTTTACTTTTAAAATGAGGGTTTCTTGATCATACCCCTGATTTTTTGAACACCGCTGAAACCCCATTGAGACTAATCTTTGTCCAGAAGCTCCTGAGAGACTTCAGGAATCTGAGATAAATCAAGTTTGGGTGTGTTCCTGAAAAATCTTGCTGGAGTGATTTTAGAAACATTATTTGTGATCTCTGTTACTATGTATTCTCTTGAATCCTGGTCTGCTTGCTCTTTACCGATACCTGCTGTTTGAAAATCTTGTTATACTGTGTGTATTACTGTGATTATTCTGTGCACATGCTCGTTCTTTGCATACTATGTTAATTGTCGTCAGCCTGTGTGTCTGAATTGTTTTTAACATGGCTTCTGCAAAATTTGAAGTTAGTCAGTTTGATGGAAAAATTGATTTTAACATGTGCAATCAGAAAATGAAAACTATTTTAATGCAAATGAAATGTGTTAAAGTTTTGGATAATAGTTGGCCTGTAGAATTACTTCCTGCCAAAAAGTCTGAACTTGATGAAGTTGCTTAGAGTACTATCTTTTTATACTTGTATGAAAATGTGATAAGAAGTATTGGTGAAATTAAAACTGCTGCAGAATTGTGGACAAAACTTCAAACAAAATATGTGACCAAGTCTACTCCAAACAAATGTTTTCTTTTAAAACAATTCTTTTCGATCAAAATGGATCATGCAATCGATTTGGATGAAAACTTGAACAGATTTACTAAATTTACCCAAGACTTGGCCAATTGTGATGTAAAACTTTCAAAAGATCAATTGACTGTAGTCTTGTTGAACTCCATAAGTAACAGGTATAAGGGCATTAATGTTGCCTTAGAATATGGTAGAGATGATCTAAGTACTGATATTATAATCAATGCTTTGAAAAATAAGGCACAAGAAATTAAGGCTAAGTCAAGTACTAATCACACTGGAATAAACTTGTTAACAAAAGGAAAAGGTTTTGTAAAATTTGATTATCATCCAAAATTTTCTAAAGACAACAAAAAGTGGACTGAAATAAATAAGACCAAGTTTAATGCCAAGGATAAAAAAGTTACAACTGTTGTGAAATTGGTCATTTGCTAAAGACTGTTTTAAAAAGAAAAATGAATCTAGAGAGAAAGTTTTGGAAGAGGGAAACACTGTCCTTGCTCTTAATAAAACCAAAACTGAGAATGATCTAGTTCTTGCAAGCTTTGGAAAGAAACTAAGTGATGAATGGATACTTGACTCAGGCTGTTCCTTTCATATCTGTCCTAACAAAAACTGTTTCATTGATTCTGTTAAAACCAAAGGAGGGCAAGTATAATGAGAAATAACTATGCCTACAAAATAAGTGGTATTGGTACTGTTAAACTACTTTTAGAAAATGGGAATACTTTGATTCTAAAGAAAATCATATTTGTCCCACATTTAAAAAGGAACTTAGTGTCCTTAGGCATGTTAGATGATATGAAGTTTAACATTAATATGGGGAAATGATACATTAAAATTCTTAAGGGAAGTGACTTGGTCATATCACCTCCTAAGAGATATGGTTTGTATTATTTGAAAGCTGT